CCCCCCCCCTCCCGATAGAGGAAGAGAATAGAGTTTTCATATGCAGATGGTATTGGCAAGGAAAAATCTTTCTGCTGAACTGGTGGTGCAACAAGGAACCCAACATCACTAGTTGACTTCACGGTTTCCTACTGTAGTTATGGTCATCAAACATATTCTAATGGGTCAGCCACATGTTTGGAGGACTAGTGGAGATCGACTCTAACGCATAGGAGAGGCAAAATCTATGTTGGGTTAAATTACGAATAAAGGTTCAGGCTCAAAGAATTACAAAGGAGATGGATCTCGGACACAATTTTTTCAGTAGAATTCGACCTAATTGAAAGATGAATATACGGTCTCGTTTTGGCCGGAAAACACCTATTCCCAGAGAATGAAATATTTTCACTGATTAGAGACAAACTTATGGTTTAACTAAAGGCCGTCCTTTGTTCGGTCATTTGCTTGGACCATGTAAAGACAACCCAAAAGTTGTTACTAAGGGGAAGGACCCACGTGGAGTTGTCACATTTGGCCAAAGTCTCACCATCTCTTCAAATTCAAATATTTACTGCTATGAACGGCCGATATCAGCACATTCCCCGCCTTTGGGCCAAGCACAATCTCATCTGATTCTGCCCTCCCACAACAGAACAAAACCCTCACAAATATACAAGCCCAATCTACACTGAAAATACCCAAGCCCACTCCCTGATACCAAATCTAATATAGAACACACCCCTAATAATTTACCCAAACCCATCTACACAAAACCACCCATCAGAAACATTTTCGCTCACCGTACTCACACGACTTTTCTCCCAAACTCCTCAAACCATCGAGCACACCTCTTAGCGCCCAATCCCCACATACACAATCCTCCATCAAAACCTGGGACCGACCTTGCTCAATCCAACAACCCAAGCCTTTCACCACCCAAATAAATCCCCAATACCGACACCCAGAATAACAGAGCACTAAGGAAGCCTTAATGCACTGATTTGATGCAGCTCATAGATAATGATACTGAGCATATTGCAGTTAACTTTGTCGAAGACATCCATCTTCTCCCTTGGTACTCAAATGAGGATTATCCCTGTTTGCATGCATCTACCCCCGCCATGGCTAAAGCTGAATATTCACTGTGGATCCGACAGAAGGCAACTAAGGTGGGTGACCTTCTGGGAGTGAGTAAGGAAGGGATAGAAGATCAGATTACTGAGTTCTTATTGAATATCAAAGGATGCCAAAATCACAATTAAGCCAATCAATGATGATAATAGCACCCAATTCTCGGGAAAAGGTCAAAAAGGGATCCAGAGGTAAAAAATCTTCTTGGATTTTATATCATCTATGAGACTGGTACAAGTAAAAATAAAGGAAGGAACGTCTCATCTCTGATGTAGCAATGAAATTGAAAATTCTGTATTTGAATGTCAGAGGCATCAACGATCCAGAAAGAAGGAGCATTAGTGTAACGACCCGATCGTTCGTTCTGAGAGTTATAGCCATATTTTCCCCATCTATGCTTATTTATATGTTGTTCAGCTGTGTTGAGTTGTATCGAGTTGGTAGGTTTGGGTTAGGAGTAGTTTTGGAGTGAAATGAACACTTAGTCTCTTAGTTAGAAAGCTAAGTTAGAAAAGTCAACCGGAAGTTGACTTATGAGTAAAAGAATTTGGATTTGGATTTTTATGATTCGATTAGCTTTGTCAGGTGATTTTAGACTTAGGAATGTGTCCAGAATATAATTTGGAGGTCCGTGGTAGAATTAGGCTTGAATTGGCGAAAGTTAGAAGTTTAGAAGTTCTTAGGCTTGTATTCGAGGTTGATTTGGTGTTGTTTTGGGTGTTTCGGAGGTTCGACTAAGTTTGCGTAGTGATATATGACTTGTTAGAATTATTGGTTGAGGTCCCGAGGGCCTCGGGTGAGTTTCAGATAGGTTTGGGTTGTGTTGTGCTTGTTTTTCTTATGTTTCGACGCCGTTTCTTCAAGTATAAATGATATCATTTTGAGCAAATGAGCTCCGGTTTCGTTTTTGATTGAAGCATTAGATCCGTATCGTAATTACGGACCCGTAGCAAAAAGATCGTTGAATTTGGACATCGTATGAGGATTTTATGACCATTTTACTAAGAATTAGGTTGCCAGATTTTTCAGTTTAATTACGAAATTGCCACTAGCAGCGTATTTAAAAATCTGCACTATTTGCAAATATTAAAACCTACATATCTCCTTCGTTATAAGGTCAAATTGAGTGATTCAAAAGCCTAACTTGACTAGAATTTCACAAGGAATCCATTGGAGGCATAAAATACGAGTTTCGGAATCGTTTGGCTCGAGAAACGAGGCAGAATAGCTGGTAGAAAATATACAAAACTAGGGTTTGTTCATTCAGTCATATTTTGAGTTGGGGAGCTCGGATTTGGGCGATTTTGGAGGCGATTTTCACCATATGGATTGGGGTAAGTGTTCTCTACTCGATTTTGATTATAATTTATGAATCCATCTTCGTTTCTGGGATTTGATTGATGATTTCAAAGTGAAATTGAGGGAGCTAGGGTTTGAGTATTGGAGAGTTTTAAGTGAGGATTTGAGGGACCAAACGGAGTTCGATTTTGACAAATTTCATATGGTTAGACTCGGGAGAGGACGAGGATTATTATTCTGCCATTTTTGACTGATTTCGAGACGTGGGCCGGGGGCCGGGTTTTGGCCGATTTCGGATTTTTGGCATGTTTATGTAGTTTTTATTGTGTAATTCGATTCTTTAGACGATGTTGATAGTAGTATTCTGATTATGGTTAGATTCGAAGCTTTTGGAGACCGAGTCGAGGGACGAGGACATCCCGGAGTAGGATTTTACGTTGTTGAGGTAAGTAACAGTTTTAACTCTGGCTTTGAGGGTATAAACCCGGAGAAATTGATATCATGTGATTGTTTGGTGGTGATACCCACGCTAGGTGACGGGCGTGTGGGTGTGCACCGCGAGGGATTGAGACTTGGTCCGTCCCGTGAGGCCAGGCCTAAAAGATATTATCTGTGGTTATGTGTTTACTTGTTGTTGAACTTGTTTGCCTTCATGTTAGAGATCCTGTTTAGGTTTTATTCATGCTCACATTATTTGTACTCAGTCATAGAAATTATTGTACATGTTTACCTCAGTCTCTATTATTTGCTAATATGCTGTGATACTTGATGTGGGTTGTGTTCCCTTATTTGTTGATGATGGTGAGGCTAGTGAGGTACATGACTGTGTGAGGCCGAGGGCCTGGTTGTGAGGATATTAATACCATAGCGCGTGAGTTGTCCGTGTAGCACGTGAGTTGACCGTGCGGGTCCAGGTATTTATACCATAGCGCGTGAGTTGTCCGCGTAGCACGTGAGTTGACCGTGCGGATCCAGGTATTGATATGGTAGCACGTGAGTTGTCCGTGCTTAGCGCTTGGGCTTTGGGAGCCCCTCCGGAGTCTGTACACACTCCTAGTGAGCGCAGAGTGTTGAGTGTATTGAGTGTTGAGTGTTGAGTGATGAGTGTGAGTGCTGAGTGATGGAGTGACATTGCTGTGAGGTTGTATTTACTTTTGCTGTTGCTGCATTTATCTGTTAAATTTCTTTGTTGCATTTACTGAGTTATGGAATTTACCTGTTTATTCCTGTTATTTTTAAAATTGCGAAAAATAAATAATTGGACTGTTTTGCTCAGCTCGTCACTACTACTCAGTTCCTTAGTTATTTCTGTTACTACTGAGGTGGTTGTACTCATTCTACACCCTGCACTTTATGTGCAGATCTAGGTGAGTTAGAGCGCGGCGATCGTTGAGTTCGGGCCGGCTATCTTTGGAGACTGCAAGGTAGCTGCTAGCGTCCGCAGGGCCTTGTTACTCCTTTTATCATTTCTTCTTTGAACAGTTAGACCGTTTATATATCTCAGTTCATAGTTTTAGACGCTCGTGACTTAGTGACACCCCGATGTTCGGGACTCGTTTCCATATTTTATATTATTTATATTTAGAGTTGGTTTAGTTTATCAGGAATTAAATTATTTGAAATGTTTTATTAAATTCTTATAATCAAATTAGTAGTAATATTTTGGGAATAGGCTTGCCTTGTAACACGATAGGCGCCATCACGACCATGGTTAGATTTTGGGTCGTGACAATTAGGAAGCTATTGTTCAAAAAATGGAAGGTTGATTTCAAACGTTTACAAGAGACTAAATTGGAACACTTTCAGCTTTTAGTTTGCTAGTAAACTTGGGCCCAGTAGAAGGGCTGGCTTTGCGGCATTAGAAGCTGAAGGCACTAAGGGAGGACTTGTGATTATCTGGGATGGCTTTGTGGCATTAGAAGCTAAAGGTCACCTTCTATCTAAATGCACTTCAGAAACTTCTTCACTGGTCTTGAGTGTGTGCTTCGAGGGATTTAAGGCCTCACACACAGAACCGAAGGTCTACAACTTTGCTCGAGTTATCTGCAGTCAAGGGCCTCATCCCCGAGCCATGGGTAATCTGTGGTGACTTTAATGTCACCAGGATTTTGGGAGAAAGAAGACACAGCAGCAGAGCTACCGGAGAAATGGAGGAATTATCTGAGTTCGTTGACGAGCTCAGACTTGTAGACCCCCCCCCCCCCCAACTCACTGGTGATCAATTCACTTGGTCAAGAGGTCCCTCTAGCTCAAGAATAGACAAGTTCTCATTTTCAACAGAATGGGTTGACAATTTTAGTAATATCAAGCAGTCTTTGATGCAAAAAGTTGCCTCAGATCATTTTCCTCTCATCTATGCAATGCAGAGCAGTCTTTGATGCAAAAAGTTGCCTCAGATCATTTTCCTCTCATCTATGCAATGCAGACAGTGGTCAAGCAAATTCTTATTACTCCAAATTTGAAACATGTGGCTGGGGCGTGAGGGCTTTGAGGAATTGGTGAAAAAATGGTGGAATTCATTTCACATTTATGGCAGCCCGGACTTCGTTTTGCGGAAACAATTACAGCAACTAAGAAGCAAAGCTGAAGGAGTGGAATCAGCACATCTTTGGAAGATTGGAACATAGGAAATCTGAAAATTTTGAGAAAAGTGCAGTGGTTTGACAAGGAAGCAGAAGCTAGGGAACTCACTGAAGATGAAAAGCTCCCCAAAGCTGAATCCTCCATAGAATTGGAAAAACATTGCAAGATTAGAGGAAGTAGCATGAGAAAAAAGAGGTCCTTATGGCTAGAAAGGGGACAAAGCACCAAGATTCACAAGATGACAATACTCATAGGAGATACAATCGACCTTCATGGGTAGAATGGTTTAGGCTGTCAACATATAGAAGTACATTTATGTTGCTTTACATACAGTGATGTAATAGACGTAAAAAAAAAAAAAAATCCATTCCAATGCAATAAATCACTGTCCCCTAATTAAAAAATAAAATTGTAAAGATATTCAGGCATCATAACATTTCTTACCCTGTAAAAACAACTAGTCCCAAATGGGCAAGTCCCACTCCCAAAGTCAAAGTGCTTGCAGTCGATAGATCTGAAAATAGGAAATAGGAAGAATTACTTCAAAAGAAAAAAGCACTTCAGAAAAAGAAAAAGAAAATGTTTTAGAGAAGCTGGGGCATGATAGCAACAACAACCCAGTAGAATCCCACAAGTGGGGTCTGGGGAGGGTAGTGTATACACAGACCTTACCCCTACCTATGAAGGTAGAGAGGCTGTTTTCGAAAGACCTTCGGCTCAAGAACGTAAAAAATGGAGCAATACAGAAACAATAGCAACAACAATGTAATAAGACAGTGTAAGCAAATAATACAACGAATAATAACAGAGATCCAAGGAAATGAAACAACAAGAATAGTGTCAATCTCACCGCTAATACTGACATACCGTATATAAACAAGGGACTAGGAATAGGAAGGTACCCGACTAGTACAACTACTATTAGTAAGACAAGGCAAACTCTAGACTGTCTATCAACCCACCATCCTAATTTTCGACCTCCACACCTTTCTATCGAGGGTCATGTCCTCGGTAAGCTGGAGCAGAGCCATATCATGCCTAATCACCTCACCCCAGTTCTTCTTAGGCCTCCCTCTACCCTCCTCTGACTCGCCACGGGCAACCTCTCGCACCTCCTAACCGGGCATCAGCGTCATCAGCGTCTTTCCTCTTCACATGACTAAATCATCTCAGCCTCGATTCCCTCAACTTCTCTTCCACAGGGGCCACACCCACTTTGTCCCTAATATATTCATTCCTAATCTTATCTTTTCTGGTACGCCCACACATGCATCGCAACATACTAATTAAAAACTTTATGAAGCATAAAAATACTCCCTCAATCAATCAAAGCTTGGCCTCATCACAGCAATGTGATAAATATAAATATTATAAAGCTAAATCCTTTCTAGATTTTTAAGTTTACCTTTTAAATGTTCATGTAGATCATTATGAAAGACTGAACATCAAAGTAGCTGAAATGTTTCATAATATGAAAGCTCAGGATCATACTAATTACTTTGAACGCATGCCAGAATGTAATCAAGGAAAACGTTACTGTAAAAGAGGTACACCTCTGCAGAGAGAATTCAATAATCCAGTCATAAGAATTCACCACTTCTGGTAGACTGGTAATGCACAAGGTCCAAACCATTCTTCAAAAGTACATGTTTGGGTAATCAATTAAGCTTCCAACACAACTCACATAAGCTACCATCCTTGTTCCGTTCAACTTTTTCCTTGATGATGCGGATTTTTGGCAATCCACTACTTTCTCCCCGAAAGTAAAACACCTGGTGTGTTAGAACAAAAATATACAGCATCCGTCTCATTCAAAACCAGAGTCCACTATGTCCTAAAAGTTCAAGAAAATGATCGTGAAACTTCAAAGTAAAGATGAACATCTCGAATAGGATGAGAAATGTCTCTTCCAAGGAAGCTTGTTCCTCACAGCAATCTTCCCATATTCTTATCTATTCTCTATCCAAGAACATTTCTTGTTTTCCCATCCACCACTTTCAACTTCACCAAATATGTGAGTTCAACCCAAATCTTCCTGAGTCATTTCAGTATAGCCACCCCATGAGAAGTTGTAAAAGGACACGTACGCCACTCCTTTCCATACTATATCAAGCCCTGATTAATTTCTTCCATGAGCTTTCCCATCTGAGAATGTTTCTATCTATGTTAATTCTGCTAACAAAATATCGTCTTCTCTCTAATAGCTCATATAAGACTGATAATCTTCCTCCCAACTTCCTAAGTTCAAATGACTTTCTCAAGAGAATTTTCCTTTCCATTGCAATAGTTAGCTTATATGATTTAATTTCTCCTTGTCATATACTAGGCTTGAAGTTACTCTAAATCTAATCTCTAACTTTGCCAGAAGAGTATTCAGTGAAAATGATAACCGCCGCAAAGACACTGTTGACTGAATATCTCAATAATAGACCTAAACTACAGCACCCACAAGCTTAGCTAAGCTTCAACACCTTCAGCACTACGTACTTGTTTCTTAGCAGATGCGTGGAACTTGAAACCATTCGCGCTCTTCTGGAATATATTCACCTAAATATAGTGATATGCTTCAGCTGGTTGGCACTAAAGAATGCCTGTAGAAGCTTCCAGCTTGTTAAATGTTAACAGATGCTACCCAAGGAAGCTTAGAATCAGTTAACCATCTATTATTGCAATGTGCTGTAGCTGTAGACATGTGGCATATGTTTCTAGCTTCATTCAATCTCGAATGGGTGATGCCACAGAATATCAGAGATGTTGCCGAGAGGAGCCTTTGGAGAGTTGATAGGGCCATCAGGGACACCTAGAGGATGATACCAGAATTTTTTAGTGCCAATGGACTGAAAGAAACCTCATATGTTTTGATGGAGTCTCAACTCCAATCCACTTGCTGAAGGCCAGATGTTTGCTTAGTATTTTTTGTTGGGCCAAACAATCCTATGTAAATAATTCTACTGTCTTTTTAGATTTTTTGAGCTCCCTCACTCTAGATTAGCCTCATTAAGGTATAATTTTTTGGTTATTGGCTAGCTCCCAGGTCCTATCATAACATCTTGTAAAGGAGCTAGCATCTCTATATTTGTAATCACTGCATCTGCTTGATGCTTTCAATGAAGCAACTTACTATATCAAAAATATTCACCTAATATATCTTATAAATAGCATTAGCATGCTCATAAACACGGACAAACAAAAACAAAATAAACATCCACTTTAAACAAGACAAGATATGGCACAAAATCTAAGAACCAGTTTCAAATTTGACTATCATCAAAAGATGCAATGGTTACCCAAGCTACAAGGGGCACTCTTGGAGATTATCATATTCAACAGAACACTCACTAAAACTTGTCTGACACATTCTAAGTATAATCAATATAAGGTGTCCAATGTGGATGGATAAGTTGGTGTTGTATCCAAATTCCCACATAACATGAAAGTCCTTGTTTTGGACAGGTCATGTGAAGTGTTGCCAAAGGCTCACCTAACTACCTAAGGCGCCCTTAAGCTCTGAAACTAGGTGCAGATAGGTTGTGCCTTTCACCTTATTTAGGTGGCGCTTCAACGTTAGCACCAATGGACTAAGTTGTACGTCTCATCCCCGTGGGCTTGATCTTGAAGAGCATGTCACTAAACAATAAATATTTCTTCTAGCTTTAATCTTTTCAAACTTTTATTCACATAATTATTGTTTGAGTGTATAAGTATTAATCTTGAACTACATATATAAATTTTTTTTATCATTTTCTTCATTTGCACCTTTCTTCATTAAAGGTCGCGCTTTACTTGCGCTTTACGCTCAAATTTCAGCTCATTTTAGATCTTTGCCTTTGATAACACTAGTCATGTGCATGTTTAGCTCTTAATGCTATTTACAAAAAAAAAACAAGGAAAAACAATATAACAACAAACAACATTTCTCAATTTCCAAGATAGAGGTACGGCTACATGACTTCCCACTGTCCATTTTGCTCAATTTGAAACAGTTTCACTCTAATATTCAATAATTCAAGTTCTTTGACACGAGAAGTTCTAAATATTTTATACTAATATATACATGCAAATTCTAACGGGATTAAAAAAACTCTTAGCAAAAACTATATTTAATGTAAACTTTATTCCAACTAGTTGGTAATGCATAGGCTGATCTTTTCCCTCCAACATCTTCTATACTTAACTAAATCTGCATGAATTCCAAGAGATTGTACGCCTTTCACGACTTCCTTTCAAGTCATTTTAAGTCTATCTTATCCCCTTTTAATACCTTCAGGCATCATGGTTTTAGACATGCTAGTTCATGCATCCAGAGGTCTACTTAGAACATGAACAAACCATCTGATGCAACATTCTCTCATTTTGATCCCCTATATGTGCTATTTGTACCTTCTATCAAATGTATCATTTTTTATCTTGTATTTATATGACCACACGTCCACCTTAACATTCACACTTCTGTCACACTCATCTTGTGAAAATGCTGGACCATTAAAGGCTCCACATTCGCTCCCATAATACATACCTCGTCTTACAACCATTCAATAGAATGAAAAATACGTACAGAAAAGAAAGAGAGTGATAAACCTGAGTTTTGTTTTGTAGCTGTCAACTATTTTTTCCTTCTCTTCTTTTGTGAAGTACCAAATAACACTCGGAATGATAAAATATGAAAGCTTGCGGCATATGGGGCAAGCCCTCAGTGCAGAATTAACATCCATTCCAGAGGAAGAACTGCCACGCCAATTCCTGATACACGATATACAAAATGGATGATCACACTCAGAAAGGATTCCAAACTTCCTCTCAGCTGCCGTTGACTTGGAAAGAACACATTCAAGGCATACACTGCATTCTATTTCTTGACTGCGCTTCAACAAATCAATGTGCTTTTGCCTGTTCTCACATGTTTTTATATGCTCCTCTCTTTCCTGAGGCCTGAAAGGATGCAAGCAATGCTTCCCACAGGTTGGACACAAATCTCCATGAATATGCGGACACTTTTCTCCACGATGGCAATTACCAGCAGCAGCAAAAGCACAGATCGGCCTATCAGCTGGACTAACACTCCTCAACTCAATCATGTCATCATTATCCAATGTATCGTGAAGCTCTGAGTTTTGGTTCCATGTCGGTTTGCTTGAAGCTGAATACTCAGTATAAATACCAGGCACAAGACCCGCACTTTGCGCACCCGCTCCAGGAGCCACATTGGTAGAAACAGAACTTGAAAGCAGATATTGTTGAGGCTGTGCTGAAGACTGAGCTGAAGGCTGTGATCGAGACAACTTAACGTGCTCATATCTACACCTGCTTCCATAAGCACAAGCTCCTTTTTGGTAGTAGGTGCATACCTGACACAATAAACCAAGAGAAAACAATTCGATGGTGAACAATCAATTAAGGCTTGACCATTAAACTAAAAAATGCCAAGAACATTACATTATTAGGACTAGTTTTCCAATCATGTGAAAACTCACAATGCTCCCCCTTCAGACATGCCCCATGTGCAAAGAACTTGCAAAGAACCCTGGACAAAGATTAGAAGCATGTGTAATTATATAATATGGCCATCTACCAGAGATTCACCAAAATAAACAGAACTTTAATTTAATTTAAAGTAATGATATACTTGGTCAATTGTAATATTGAGGTAGATACTTGAGGTAGTCAATTTAATTTTTGTATAATTGCATTAGGTAAGGTTGTCTACATCATACCCCTTTGGGGTGCGGCCCTTCCCCCGGACCCTGCATGAATGTGGATGCTTTGTGCACCGAGCTGCTTTTTTTAAACTTAAGGTAAAATAACAACTTGACGAAGTAAAGACCAAGTAATACCAATTTACCTCTTCAAATATTAACTTTTATAGCACTTGTCAGACAAAATAATGCTTAACTTTTAGAATATGCTTTTTTTTTTTAAATTATATGGATGCACATAATAAACAAACAACGAATAGTTTAAATAACCACTTAAATCTAACAACACAGATAGCACTGAAAGAACCACTAGTTTCCTCGAAATTGCTCATACAAACTCATATTGAATACCATTAGACTAAAGAATCCTCCTTAATGGCATATATTCAAAGTTTCTTGCAGTCTACTTTAAGGCAAATATCATAAGCACCACAAACACATAAGCAAAATGCAAAATTATATCTATCAAGGGGTCATTTAGTATGATGGATAAGCAAAAATAATCCTGGGATAAAAATTTAGTATCGTCTTATCCCTTGTTTGGTTACTAATCATGGGATAAGTTATCCCGGAATTAAAAATAGTACCCGAATAACTTAACCTGCCAGAGAGTAGAATAGTAACCCCAGAATAAGTTATCCCGCAATAAGCAGTAAAATTGACAATCCCACGATTGATACAACATAACAAACAATCAATAAGAAATAATACTAGGATTACTAATCTCGGTATAATTAATCTCAGCATAACTAATCCCAGCATAATTTGTCTCCAAAGCAAACGACCCCTAAGTGAATTTTGCAACCAAATGGTTGAAAATGAAAAATCCGTAAGCATGTTAAAGAAAAATACAAATAAAGTCAATAAAATTCAGCTCATAGAGCCTTATCGCAAAAGTAAACTTTTACCTCAGATAAATTTAGAAATCACTGATAAAAAAAAAAAAGTAGCCATTAAAAATTCAATTCGCTCTAAACGAAGTTGTCAGTGAAAAAAAGGTGATCATTTCAGTTCAATTTCGGAAACAAATTCAGATAAGGTTCTAATAAACCACCATGTTACAACTTAGAATCGATCAAAAGGAGTATCTGAAAAAGCACCTTTGCGACATGGCTTCGACCTTTGGGTTGGCTGGCAGTCAGAAATCTTATTAGGTGGCGTTTGGGATTTTAGTTTTAGGTCTAATTTTGAAAAACTATTTATTTAGGTTTAAAAGAGCTCTTTTGGAAACTTTTTGAAAATAAGTGTAACTTTGATTTTAGTTTTTGAACCCACTTTTTTTTTTTTATGCTTAAATTTAAGATAAAACAGTTTTTGTTATAAATAATATTTTATTTAACGTTAATGTCTATATTTTAGAGAGATTTTAGGGTTTGTTGCTAAGTCACTTTTAGGGGGTTCTATTCCATTGTAATTGATCCCAAAATCAATAAGAATTCTCTTTCTCTATTTTTCTCTGCAATACTCTTCTTCTTCTTTTATCGTTTTATAACATGTTATCAGCACGAGACTCTAACTAATTGAGTAGAAGCTTTGGGATTGAGCATAATGATTGTCAATTATTCCATAAACTTCCTTCATGATTAAATTCTGGATTTAAGGTAAGTATTTCACTTTATTTTTCTCTTTCAAATTCTTGAAATTCCATAATTTGATTTTAAATACAAGCAAAGACAATAAATTTGATTACAACTGTAATTGAGTTTGTAAGAAATTATAACCACCCGAAGTGGTAAAATTTCTATACATTACCATGATCAAATTCATGTATGATTGTGGACACAAGAAGTGCACACTCGTCCCATTGGATTTGCTTCATTCTCATTCCCCTAAGAGAATGTGATAAGTCTAAAAAAAGATAAAATTATTACCATGAAGGTACGTATCAACAGATGTGGACGTGGCAATAGCCGAAATTATAATCGTCATCATTGTGGTAATGAGAATATTAAGGATTCTCAAAATAATCCTTCACTTTGTGAAATTTATCATCGATTTGACATGAGATTTTATAGAGCACATATGGGATTATGGTCCATTCATGATGTGAATGTGACAACATGTGATTTATGAATACATATTCATTCTTGGAAGAATATGAACGTGCTACTAGTAGTGAATACACCACACTCACTTCTAGAATGAGGTTTGAGAAGAAATAAGAAAATAATATCATTATTATGACATGAATGGTCATTGGTCACATACCTATTGTACGCCAAAATTTTTGGTGATGTGATTATTAAAGACAACAGTAATGCAAGGAACAGATCTTGAATAGAATTTTGACCATGACCATAATGGTATAACTTTCTCTTTAAAAGAGATATTCATCATATGGATGTTGATGAATATGTGATAGTACCAAATTAATTGAGAGCTCTGAAAGAGCCAATTATACTATTTTGGAGAAATAAAATTGATTATCAATAAGATATTGTGTTGTAGTAAGTCTCAAAGAAACTTAATTGAGTTTCTAAAGTATTCGCGAAAGCGGTTGGTTATATTGAGACTATAAATAAAGAAAAGATTTAATGTCGGCAGAATTAACAAATTGCAGAGGACAGTTATCAAT